TGTATTAGACCCGTCGTCCATTTATTTGTAAGTCAATGGTTTTACTGTTATTTTTTTAATAACATATATTAGACAAAAGAAAAGCCAAATTTTCTAAATTGAGTTACTTTGAGTGGCTGAAAAGAACGAACCACAACGGCTTTCTACAATATTTTTTTTTCAGACGAATCTCATCTTTTATCCAAAATGAACTTGAACATAAGGTTGAATTTCATCTGATATTTTTGCCGCAAGTACAAACTGACAAGTAAAACATAGCATTTGGTACCAACATCTACTTATTCATTACTCTAAACAGAAGAACACATACTATTCTTAAATGGCTACATCAAATATATTGTGGCATTAACATATTCTATCTTACTCCTAAAAAAATACTTAATGTATCTACCATCTCTTTGCAAACTATCTTTTTTCGTGTATCTTTTGTATAAAGATACCATACACGCGATGTTGTCTTTATGTAATGGCACAAAATTCTTAGAAAATGTTATTCCACAATATGTATAAAATACAAAAACAATTAAAATTGCATTGTCTAAAACCTAAGCTAAAATATACGTAGAAATCAATGTCTTATAATTTATATAATTTAATGTATTTTTTTATTACTAAATATAATATCAAATATATTTTGTAATAACAATTTTACAAAAAAAAACTTTTACTATAGACAAATAGAAGACGCATTGTTGCGTATAATAGAAACTTGAAAATGCTTTCTTTATCGTCTTTTTAACACAATGTTCTTGAAATGAACACGACAATGTGTGATGTCCTTTAACATAACAAAATATTTACGAATAACCAATTAACGGACATTCTACAAACTAAGAACTTCCACTTGGATATAAGTTGATTAGTTCCGTGAACTCATAGTATTAGCATATTGTGATCTGCCTCCTTATGACGGGGGACTCCTTAATCTGGTTCCTTACGACTGTTGATGGATACTGGTTAAAAGTATAAATCAATTTCAAATGATTAGAAAATGACTTCAAAAGTAACTACAGCGCCGTTGTACCATTGTCTAAAGCCAACCTTTCTACGTCGTTCATTAGAAATTTTCCATCTAAAATTCATTCATCAAGCAAAGCACAATTTCGTATATAATATAATCCGAAAGCATTATTTACATCAATAATATCTTTATACCTTGTCATAAAGTTCGACGAGTATGTTATAATCTTAACGTATGTCTTTATTTAAAATTACACTTAAGAGTAAACGTCTTACTTAAGTTGGACACTTAATTTGAGCTACACATTGAGATGCCGTTTCTATGGAATTGGGGTTTTTTCCTGAGTTAGGTTAGAGGCACTGGTATGCTGCATGGTAAATTGCAAAGGGGTTTAAGTACTTGAAGTACGCTTAAGTTTTGATGTTAGAAGATAAGATAATAAGTCGACCCCTCCTACGTAAAGGATCGTATGTCGAAATTGCCAAGTTTACACGGGAGTATTTTAAAGTTCTGAATTCACTCGTTACTCACATAGAGTGATCATCTAACCGATATCTAGAATTTTATAATATTCTATGTGATTAACGAGCTTTGCCGAATAAAACTGAGAAATGCTAAAGTCACGTATTATGCTTATTTCAGTGAATTCAGAAATTTAAAACGCTCCCCTGTAAACTTGGCAACTTCGACATACGATACTTTACGTAGGAGGGGTCGAAGTGTTTAGTTTGGGATTTGTTTTATTAGCTCGAATGTGACCATAAAGTATCACTCTTGTCCAAAGTTGTAATAAAAAAGTACGCTTAATCGATGTAAAAGAAAAAATCTTACATGATTTGCTAATCCAAAAAACCTAGATAAAAAAAATGCAGCGGGAAATAGTGAATTTTGTGAGATTGAAATTAATACCAGATTTGAACTTTATTAAGACACGGACGAGATGGCATTGTGCGGGGAACCCATTTGTGTGAGGACCTTGTCGAGCCACTGCAAAGGACCGTGGAGATGTATCTCAATCCAGCAAGGGGTAGACGTTACATCCTGACGGTGATACTCCGCTCCCCAGCCTTTAACGAACGACATTCGAATCGTGCACATCTTTGTCAATTCATACACGGCTTCGAAACCGTGATTCACGCTTTGGGACAACAATTGTGCAAACTCTCTATTGTTGAATATCTTCAGAGAACAACCGGGTGGTATCTTGCATACAGTCGAAGGGTGGAATCCATGATGGTGGTTACAGTTTCGACTTTGTACGAAAATCGCCGCGTCCGACAAACACTCGGCGTAAACTTCGCCGCCCACGTAGTAAAAATGCACACCCTTTCCTATGTGGCGTCTTGTGTTCTCTATGGTCGAATTTCTGTTCACGTTGCTGAGTTGTCCGAGGCAGAATCTGTCGCTATTGTTCGAGGGGTCGGTAAAACCGTCCACTACTACCGAATGGGAGTTGCAGTGGAAGACCTCTCCGACCTTGCAGTTTAGCTCGTAGTACGCTACTGTAGCCCAATATAAAGGTTCTTGGTAGGAGACTGGAGCCACTTCTCCCGGAGTTTCTGTGTCATCAGAAGGAGGTGAATACGCCGGTGGAGGAGTGTCAGGAAGTTCAGAACTTGCCGATGGGGGAAAACCTGATCCCGAGTAGGACACGTTGTGAGGCATCGCCGGTTCGGTGGTCCTTTGGAAAGGCAGCAGGGAATGTCCAGGCGCGAACTCGGAATGCCGAGGCACCAAAACAGGTGGCAGAACAGGGCTTTCCACTCTTTTATAGTGGTAAGGGTTGATGCATACTTCCTTTTGTTTCGCGCTGAAGGGGTACTGGCAAATCTCCAGGGGTTTAAGCTCATGGTGGCTTTGGAGATCAGGCCAACGCCAAACGCGGCAGTAAATCACATGGGGTAACCCTTTGCGATGTGACACCTGAGAACAATAGTAAGAAGTATTTACATTCGAATACAATCCGTATCTAATTAGCAACAAACTTATTAACTATGTTAGTACACGATTTCAACACGTTCAAGAAATTGACCGTCAACTCTGTCAGCTACTACGGTCAGGAGGCTGTTGGCAGCCGCTGCATCAAGAAGGAGTGTCTCTTTCGAATTATGGTTCAGAAGTCATTTGCTAGACTAACCGTTTCTTGTTTGATTGATGTCTAAAACTTTTAAATTATAAATGCTAATTTACAACCTTATTAAAAAGCAAATGAACTAGTTTGCAAAACAGAATGTGAAAAAAGTTGAGTTCCCGCAAGCAAAAGATCCGGGTTCGATGTCCATTTGGAGTGCGCCAAGATATTTCATCCGTTTTTTTTTGTTGCAAATTTCCATTTGGATGTGTTGAAGGTTGGGGACCGTTACTCGAAACTAGTTCAGTTAATAAACAAAGACAGAGAAAAAAAACAGATAAATTCCGTCCAGAGTTCGTTGACGGTGATTTACGATGGATATAAAAGATTCACACAATAATCCAGTTTTATGAGCTTTGTGGTAGCTCTGTCTACACAAGAATTCTAAGTGATTTAAAAGGAGAATACCATAAATCGTAAGCGCAACCTTATAAATAGTCATTAAAACATTTTTATTAATAACACGCATTCAGCTCTACTCCTAATAAACGTAGACGTAATTGGAACAGAATTTAGTTTCCGAACTTGTTTTTGACCACAGTCGGTTCGGAATCCAAAAAAATCGAGTAGCGAAACAAAAGAAGGTCGGAGTTGTTTAGAAATAAACATAGACCAACCTGTAGCCGACCGTCTAACGATCGTGGAATCGTGACGCACTTGGAGGGCGTTCCGGGGCAGGACAACGCTCGTTCCAGCTCCTCAATTGCACCTTTCCGCTTTTTCAGTTTTTTCACCAGACTGTCGACAGCCTTCTCCGCCCATTTCTCTTCTTCATCGCCCTGAAAAATGTTAGTATTCCTTCATGATTCATTTTTATAATATTCTTGTATCTTTTTTTATACAATACTAAGTAACGGTACGAACAAGACGTGCGCCTGGTGGTAAGCGACACGCGTATTCATAACAGTTGCATAACAGTGCCGTTCAGAGCGCTTTAAATCGCAAAGATGTTATGGGCACTGCCACTACATCCGTCATCCTTAGACATAAATAAGTTGACAAGTCCCATGTGCCTGTAATTTCACATTACTGCTCAGCGGCAGAAATAGAAAGGTGGCACTACTTGACTTATTACTAGAGATGCACTATTCAAATTTTTATGAAAACCGATTCAACGGTATACGATCTAAAGATTTTTTGTATCGATACATTTCAAAAACGAACAGATTCAATATAAAGGCAAAAATTACGTGGGCAAGCAGTAATTAATATCATTATGTGTTTATAAAACTCGATTTAATTACTAATATTTAGTTGCAAACACTTCCGGGCGTTAATGGGTTTTAACCCGATTTAAATCCGGCATTAACAAAACGCCGGGTTAAAACCCGAGCAGTTGCCCATCTCTGGCTTTCCGTCACCATTAAGTAGAAGTATTATACTACTAAATATTCAGAAATCACACAAAAAAATTCGGAAGTGCTATAATTTAGAAATTAAACTCATAGGCACATGCCATATCATGTGTCGAACCGTCGAACTCAACGCAAAACATCTATTCTCCCATATGGCCATCATTGCACATTTAACATGATTATTCTTCTAATCTGAAGTTGGTTGGAAGATATTGTTAGAATTTTCCAGATACTAATAATGCACCAGTCAAAAGCACCAATACACACAACAGTGATTAATTTTGGAACAAGTTTAAATGTCGTGTGAGTTATCTATTGTGCAGGTTTATAAAATATATATTTGTACACTACGGGTATTATTACAAGAGAAATGTAATAACAAAAAACTCATAATTGCTTTATATTGAGCAGAGAGTAAATAAAAACCAAATCCTGGTAAACAACATTTGGTGACTCATCATTCTCAGAAGTTCATATCATTGAACATTGACTCATAAGTCAATACGTGGTGCGTAGGTATTATACAAGACTATTTTCATTCATGAATATCTTTCGCAACGACGACGTCCGCGAGAAAGATGTAGTGGCAAAAATAGAGGATATAGCTATAGTGCAGGAAAACTTCTTGTGAAAGGTTCGTCTAGGGAATTACATCTATTTCTGCCGCCAAGCAGAAATGTAAGCATTACTGGTGAAATTATAGGCACATGGGACTTTTCAACTTATGTCTCAGGGTGTCGGGCGCAGTGGCAGTGCCCCTCAGATCTTAGCGATTTAAAACTCTGAGCGGCGCTGGATCTTACTACCGACAGGTTCGTCTGTATCTAATAGAACATAATATTAACGCACACGGTAGGAATAAATGTAGGCAATACAAATATTTCTCCCGGCCCGGGAACAGACCCCGGGACCTCTGCTTGGCAGTCCAGTATGGTGACCGTTCGGCTACGAAAACAGTTAAACAGTATAATGACGAAACAGATCTACAAGGCACGTATAAGCGAGCGAGTTGGTAAGGTCCGACCAGGGCAAACTAAACAAGACCAAACTGAGGACTTCCTAAAGAAAGATCAAGTCAAGAGTACCTTCAATCGACGAGCGTGTATAAAATCATTGATACAATGTTGATGAGGCGAGAAAGAGGCGTGAAGTTATGTAATTAAAGATTTTTAAAAAGTTACTTGCCTCACCAGGAAATCGAATCCACCAAATATGAAATAAAAATGAAACGTGCATTTTGTATAATCAAAATAAAATTATAAGGATTAATTCTTCTCATGTGTCATCTTATCTTAAACTAAAGGAACACCGTTCAATTACACCTTTTATTAAAAAAGTAATGTACAATATTTAAAGTACTTTCCCTCCATGTCTCTCGTGTGTAGCCCTGGGGCACCCTGTATATCGGGAATGTTCATCAGAAATAAACATTCCACAGTCGAATACGTAATATTTGATTACTTTGAAAGCTATCTTTTCAGTATTACACTGCTAGTTAATATCAAAATTGACAAATATGTTTATGTAGGCCGTATACTCGAGTTTTATAACGTGCAATACTCGAGTAATTAATTATGGAATGCTCATTACAAGCTAACTATCTCAATTGGAATTTCAAAAGTTTAAAACTGGTCGACATTCAATTTATAATTTATATTCTAATATCAAGTGACGGGACGAACAAGTCGTGCGCCTGATGGTGAGCTACACGCCTGGCCATAACAGTTGCAGTGACACTCAGATCTTTAAATCGCAAAGATATGAGGGGCACTGACACTGTGCCCATCACCCTGTGACATAAGTTGACAAGTCCCATGTGCCCGTAATTTTACCAGCACCCTTACATCAAAACCAGAACACAGTAACGCTGACATTACTGCTTGGCGGTAGAAATAGGTAAGATGGCAAGTACTTCCCTGGATGAACTCTTACACGAGGAGCTCTACTGCTACTAAATAATATTCAAGAAGTCTTTAGTGATACTGTTAAGGACTCCAAACAGCGACGTTCCGGGGGGTCTACTACCGTTCCCTGCCCGACATCCGTTCTTAACAATTAGAGCGCGTTCCCTCTATGTCGTGACGACAGACTGCTGTGTTCGCAAAGATCCCCAGGGGGTATGGCCAAGGGGACCCTGGTGACTCTCCCCAGTGTCGTGGCTTGTATATTTAAATGAAGTTGTTCACATATAGAACGACACGATTAACTGTCGTTCACGATTTTTTCGTCGTCAGACGATAAATAACACGACACGATAAAAACGTGAAGACAGATAGTCGCAGCTACTATTGTCGTCACAATTTATTCATCGTTGGCTGCACGTGTTCTGCTTGCCACTCTCCCCTCTCATACCCCGCGTCCTCGGTTCGCTTTGCACTAGCGTTGGGTCGTAGCCATGATGAGCCCGGGATTTAACCCGGGGCTTTGTTAACGCCGGGTTTAAATCGGGTTAAAACCCATTAATACCAGAACTATATATTTGTTGAGAATTGAGTATTGGACAAATTTAATTATACATATTACAAAATATTAAATTCTTAAATAGTCCCAAAATTATCTCTCATCACATTTCAGTTAATCTATAAACGTTTGACATAATCGTAATGGAATCCTCATTAATAACATTGGATGTACACCCAAAACTTTCTTTTCTTCGTTTGTTTCCTCTTCCGCCTTTTTAAATAGTAATACATTATTATAATTTCATCTTCATCCATTTCACAAGGGAGCGAAAACACACTACTGGTTTCCAAAATAACATAGAAGCAACTGCAGTGCATCAAACGACTCTGTCGTGCAAACGACAAGATGGCTTCCGTGAAACGATAAATTGTCGTCACGATCTAATGGGAACAGCTGGACACGACACTCATTCAACGATAAAATAATCGACCACGACACAGCCACGACAAATAGTCGTGATACGGGAACAGGCTAGCGCGACAGTCGTCCAACGATAAATAAAACGTCACGACATAGTGGGAACGCGCCCTTACTGTCAAATAAGTACTAGTCGACCAAATCAAAACACAATGTCACATATGAAGCTTCATTCGCATCATGCATCTTTTAACTTAGTCGAGAATTATTTATTTCACAGTAATTGTTTTGGACGGACGTCAGACGGGGAACGAGAGTACAGGTCTGGTCCGTTTTAGTATAAGGTAATGTAAACCTGAGTTTTCTCTAACAATAGATTTCACAGGTGCAGCAAATGTAGAGTTCCATCGCTACATCTCCTATTTTCATACTATAGCATCGCCGCTAACATCAGGTGAGGATTAAACTACAAACTTTACATGACAAGTCAACAATAAAAATTTTAGTTCAATCTTTTTTATGTTATAGAAAAAAAAAGACAAAATATTCCCTAGGGCCGTTGCGCTGTTTCTAGCGACGTTTTAGAGTTCCCCCATACAGTCCCAAAAAAAAATTTCAACGTTTTTTATATCTCGAATGTTGTGACGTGAATAATTGGTTTTCGTCAAAATTATAAGGTACGTCCTTTTGTGGCGTAACGAACGATATACCACATTTTTTCATTATAAGTTGAACCTTAATAATGGAATGTAACATAGAATGTCGGAAGAAGTCCAAAAATAAAGTTCAAAAAAACAAATGACTCACAGAGACCAAATACAACAATGAATGAAAAGCATTTTGTGTATAACGTCAAAACATGATAACAAAAAGGTGTTTTTCTTATTACCGATATTCCCAGGAGCCTAGTACAAATTTCGTGGAAAGATAAATAAATCCAGTTTCACTAATTAGATTCTGGAACGAATCGAAAAGGGATGCTATAACTACAGTTTTGAATGGTAAAACTATAGTTTTAACAAAAACTTTTAAAATTATTTTACATTATCAATAATAATTTATTGGTTTTGTACAATAATATCTTTTTTTACCCACATTTAGTTATTGACTAATTGTGTAGTAGTACTATTAGGCAGAAGCTAGGACCTAATAAGGATAAATATATCCATCACAATTTACCTACTTATCTATCGTGATGAATAGTAGTGTTATTTATTTAATAGAAAAAGGTGGCTTAACATGGCAGTTCTGAGTGAGATCCAAGTAGAACGCATTCCCTCTACAGGCGGCTTCCCACGGTCAGTGAAGACACGGGCTACGCCGCTCCACGCTGATATGTACGGGCGTGCTCACGCCACGGGCCCATACATGCGAACCGGCACTTCCCACGCCGCGTGGGCACGAGATCGCGCGGTACGGCCCGTGGAGCCGTGGGAAGTCAGCATAATAAAGTGACATAATTTTGTACAGTAACATTAAAAAAAATAATGATCAAGACACTAATTTTGTTTTCCTTATCGTACTTTAAGCTTTTCAATTCTATTTTAACTTTATTTATTATATAAGCTGCAATACGAAGTTCAATTCTAATTTGGATAATAACTAATTTAACTAAAACGCTTTTTATATACACAATGTAACAAAAAAGGCAGGTTCGACAGAAAAATTGAGAGATAAACTCGTGGCAGTTGCTCTGTGAAACACTTATCAGGCTATACTACTTAAAATACCAAATCGTAACATAAAAAACATATATTGCATTAGTCAGTTTATTGAATGTAATACCAAGAACTCTAGCGCACAAATGGCATGAAAACTTGTCATAATAACCATTGTAATACGATCTCTGTATGATAGTTATTTGATATTGGTTATAATGGTACTTGACAAAAGTGTCTTTATTATTTTTATTTGGGCTGTCTTGCTTCTGCTTCCGCAACTTTTGTAACGGAACTTTATACGGAAGTTTACAATGTTCGCGATCACATGTCTGTGTTCGCGATGGATCAGGCGCCAGTGCGGATTGGCGGTGGAGCGCGCGTCTTTTAATAGTTCAGTGTTGTGTAATAAATGCACTTATAATATGAAACCAAAAACAAGCCCTGTTGGAAACTATTTTATTGACTTCTTTACAGTATTTCTTAGCACTTCCGCTTCCGTATCCGTTAATATTTAGTTGTGACATTTGTGTTTTATACATTTACAAATATTTGCTCGTACGGCGCTTTTCTCAATGGAGATCACAATAGATCTATAAGTATATGTAGCAGCGTTACCGGGTTAAAGAAACCCTGAACAAAAACCCATTTTCCAATCACCTATCTTTTCTTTATTTTGTTGGTAATCAAATTACACTTGGTATCGTCACTTTAATTAAAACTACTACTCATTTGTAGGTCGAATTCACCTAAGAAGAATTTGTTTTTTTATATCACTAGAAACGTTTCATTTAATAGTGCATTTTTCTTCCCTTCCATTCTTGTCTAAAGATCATGGCAAATACTCCTCTTCTGAAGCTTGAGCATGAACTTGAATATTTTATTCAGTAAACTAAAACTACAGGAAGAAAACAATGATCAAGCAGCATAGATAGATACTACTCTAAAAAAAGACAAAAATCCTAAGAGAACTGCCTCTTGCCTACTTATTATAGCTAATTTAGCATTCGCGATTCGAATGTAGAGATAACTTGTGTGATGTTTGAAATTCCTGGTACTCTCGTTGGCTATCTTCCTGCAAAACTGTGGGTAAATTTTATGGCAAAATCCAACCTGATCTACCCTCTAAACCTTGGTTCTTCACTAGGAAGTCGATCCCGAAAAATATTACCTACGCAATTATTCGCCTTCGCTTATGCTAACACTCCTGTATTTTTGGTTAAGATCCGTGTCCGAGACCACTGTGCGAGTGTGGTCTGGCAGAGGTTCCCTCGAGTACCTGTTTTTGACTATATCCTATCGTCACTTCTCTGTATGATATCCTCCCTCCTAAAATCCCCCATACCGTTAATATCAACTTCCTACAAACGTTAGTCCATTCTCCCTTTCTTGCGTTTGTGCATGTGCTGTGTAAATTTATAAAAAAAAAAACAGTTTGTTTCTGTAATAGTCTGTGTAGGTTCCCTGTTGTTGAAGATTCTCCTCTCGTGAATTCTCTCGAAATTCACTGGTCAAATTTTAAGTTAAAACGCGTGCGTTCCTCAACTCGACATTGGCGAAATCATCGATTACTTCGATGGGGCCATAACATTTAAAAGAAGAAGAAAGGAACCATTAGGAACACAGTCAGTAGTGGATTCTTCAACACTTTCAGTGCTAAAGACATACCTAACATACATAAATTCCATCTGTCTTTTTGTCTTCAATAGTATTTATTTCTTACCCAACAATAAAAGTGTTTTAAGTAGTGTACAGTTAGTTATGGTACTGACAATGGCATGACCACCTTTATCAACTAGTCAGAGGTCATGTTAAAGTAGTTGCACAGATATGAAACAAATGAGTAGCTAGTTTATTCATTTGCGTACTTCCTCATTGTGCTTTATGTTACACCTAAGGTGATTCATTAAAAGGTTATGCCGCACATATATGCGGCATAACCTTTTAATAATAATAATTTATTTAATAAAGAAAAACAATGACATTACAAGATACATGAGAACAAAGACATAAGTTTGCTGTTGTACTGTGCCATCGAGTATATAACCAGAAACAGAGACGAAATGTCATTTTATTTGTTTGAAAACTATTCTGCCATATCATTACCGTTACAACTGCGCTCCGATTGGCTAGCCCGAGTTCGAAACAATTGACGGGTGTCGTCAACTGTTTCACTTCAAAAGGACCAGTTAACTTGAGCTGTGCTATAATGGACGAAAATTGCAAAATTACATATTCAATATTTAATTTACCGATGAAATGCGATTCCGTTTGTTTTGTAATTAGATGTTTTGCTGTTTTTCCCACACCACTGAATAGAACAGCCCCCCCATAGTTAGAGATATTATCTTTATTACAATAAATACAGAATATTTTTTGGAATATACGGAGACGTACACACAGGTCAGTAGTTGGCCTGTCTATATGTCAGTGGAAAGAGAGTTGATATTTATAAGAGCTGTATCGCTAATGTGTTACCAGGAATATATGGCCCTTATTTCGCCTCCATTTCTGATTATATACTCGATGTACTGTGCATACATTTTAATTACCTTGTAAATAAGTGTGTGTGTGTGCGCGTGTGCGTGTGTGTGCGTGTGTGTGCGTCTGTGTGTGCGTCTGCGTCTGTGTGTGCGTCTGTGTGTGCGTCTGCGTGTGCGTCTGCGTGTGCGTGTGCGTGTGCGTGTCTGTGTCTGTGTGCGTGCGTGCGTGCGTGTGTGTGTGTGTGTGTATATTGCTAACAGTGCTCTTTGTGAAAGAATTTGTCCAGGGAAGTAATGCCACCATACCTACCTGCGTTATTGGGTTCTGGTTTTGGAGGGCAAGGGTGCTATAAATTTTTGTCTTAGGGAGACTCGCACTCTGGCAGTGCCCTACAAACCTTTGCAATTTAAAGCTTTGAGTGGCACTGCAACTATTACGGGTAAGCATGTTGCTTATAGAAGATTGCCTGGTCTATCTTTATCCCCCACAGCAGTTTTTTTGTATTGATAAAGCTAACCAATTAAATATATAGCGGAATTGTAGATTGTGAATTTTGTATAACTTTTTTAATAAAAATACATCAAGTATATCAATTTTAGTAGTAGAGCACCTTGTGAGAGAGTTTGTCCAGAGAGGTACTGCCACCCTACCTTTTTCAGTCGCCAAGCAGTAGTATGAGCATTACCGCGTTTCAGTTTTTAAAAGTAAGAGTACTGGTGAAAAGACAGGCACATAAGTGGCTTGTGTTGCTTACCACCAAACACACAACTTGTTTGTCCCATAATTTGGTATTAACCCTCTGCAACTGATGTTATGTCTAACAGACATATCGGTATCCGCTACCGGTCAGTGCAGGGAGAGCCGCCACAGCAATTATACTTGAAGAGCTACAACTGTTAGGCGTCTATGAGATATAAGGTCAGTAATTATTGATGGATCTGGTAGACGTATTGTCAGTAAAACAATTATATTGTCATATAATTGTCTCTTATATATGTCTCTTAGATGTCAGGTCAGCAAAAGAATTATTTTCATAGTGTCCAGCAGCTGTCACCTAAGTAAGACCTCATCACTTACTCTGCTCCAAGACCACCAACAGAACCTAAGCCATCAACTACAAGGAAGTAATGCCATATATGTCCAAGCAAATTGAAGCAGTAAATGAAATTTTCTTGTTACATTTGCAAAAAACCAATTTGTCTTAAGTGCGTGATGCAAATTTGCGAAAATTGTAACTTGTTGTTCTTGTAGTCTGAACTTTGAAGCTGATTGAGAGAAAAACTACTCTAACAATTTTTCTTTTTTTGTTAATACTATTTTATTTTAAGCCGGAAGACTATAAATTTAAGTTAATGTTGTCGATTTTGTATATATTTTTTTTTATAGAAAATTTCCAACATGGCTAAGGCCTTAAGTGCCCTGATCTTACTAAATTTAATAATAAATATTCTTTCTTATAAACACGTATGTTAATAACAATTTCTATACAAGTAGGGACTTATTACATTTCAATGACTATATATGTATATTTTTAAGACAAACAATTCTGAAAAACTATGAATTAATGGCAAAGATAATGTATGTCTGTCAGCCTACTCCTCAGTAGAATGTTTACAAAGCCCTTACTCAGGTTTTAATACAATAAATAATTAAGAATGCAGTAAAAATTATTTTACTTCAACTTATATTGGACTAAGTATTTCCACAACTTGGAGCTGGCAGTAACCCAAACCTCTGCTCCATTTTAATTACTGACTAGTGTGAATATGCATGTTTCTACTTCATCAGTCCTTTAATTTAATCTACGCTTGAGATTGACAAACTAAACAATCTCAGTAATAATATTAAATTTTATACAAGCAATACCACATAGGAATATAGATTAGATATATAGTATAATTAAAAAATTATCTACAGTTTACGTAAAAAATATTTCGTACACATGGTAACGAAATACAACAGAACAAAGAGAAAAATGCATGTATAATTTTTTTTAAAATGGTTCTTACCTGTTTCCAGCCCAGCAGCTTCTTCACCGCAGGACTGGTGAATGAGAAGAGGCTGTTCAGGCTGGACATGGGTCCACTGCTGGACGACTCCCCATCATCCGTCTCCATGGTTACGGAGCGTCCGCTGACTCACCCGCCGTGGGAATGCGCGCTCGCGATCACCCCTCGCAGACCCCAAACACCATCGATCACACCTAGGTATTCCCCACAACGCGTTGGATCTAATTACGAACACAAAATAGCGATTGGCGTTCCAGAAGCGTTCGCACGTAAACCCCACAACACACCTCAAATGAAACGACCAATTGCCGATTTAAATTCGGTTTTAGAGTATACCACGTCCAGACAAGATTATAAAATGAATGTTCAAGTTCAAAAATATTAAAAACTGACGAAAATTGTAAAATGAAAATATTACGCTTACTTGTCAAACGCTTCCATACCACCATAGAATAAAAAATTTAAAAAGTACGAGTAAAAAGTGTTCGAATACGCACTGCACTGATTTTTTTCAAATACTAAGCAGTTTATTTTATTTTATTTTTCTTGGCTTTTCGCGGTTAGTATTTCTCCTACTGTGAAGGTTTTTAATATTTTACAAAGGAAAAGTAGTCGATAACTTTTTTATGTTTAAAGAGAATTATAAAATTTCATCTACAGAAATACATAAGTTGTTTCCATATACTTAGTATTATTTTACTGAGTTTTATGTGGTAAAAACATAAGGCAATTAGTATAAAGAGGAATGCCTAAGAAAGACCGCAAAATATCATAAATTCAATCGTAGTGAACGCACACATAGAATATTAGTTAAAATACCGCTTGCCGGGATTGCTTCTTGTGTACCTGCTACTTCCTACTTCGTTAGAAGTTATAAGCCCTAAACCGGTGCTAAATTTTAACTTTTGAATCTAAAGCTTACAAACACTATGGACAGAGAAATGGAACGTAGTCAATGCGCTTTTAATACAGGTAATTTGTAAAGTAATCGAGAAAACAATATAAGCTTAACTTATTTGCATAGTGTTCTCTCTTTTTGGCCTACCACAACTACTCAACGTTCAAACACTGAGAGAATTTTCTCGAATTTGAACTGTCAAAGAAATTCAATTGTCATTCTTTTCTAGATTTTGGTAGAGCTTGCGATCGTATTCAAAGAAAATATAACAATTTGTGCGAAGCGAACATAGCTAGTTCCTCTCAGTAATTTAGCCTTAGTGCCAGTTAATAATCGTTGTTTAATATCATCAGAATAATTATGGAGCAGGTAAGAGGTTAGGAAGATGCTTTGGATATTTGTATGTGATACGGGTGGATATTTATCATATTTTTTTTAGGTAAATCAATTAAAGGAGAAGGGGAACGCCGCTTTGTCGTCAGGTAACTACGAAGAGGCTATCAGAAGTTACAGTGAAGGTCTAGCTTTGGACCCTAAAAACCACGTTTTGTATAGTAACCGCTCTGCGGCACATGCTAAGGCTGGAAACTACGCTGCGGCCCTCGAGGACGCAAACCGGACGGTGTCGTTGAACCCTACGTGGAGTAAAGGGTATTCACGTAAAGGCAGCGCTTTGGCTTATTTAGGCAAATTTGATGAAGCTATGGCGGCGTACGAGAAAGGTCTAGAACTGGAACCTAACAATACGCAGCTGGCGCAAGGGTTGATCGAGGTGAAGAAGCAGGCGGAGGAAGCTAAGTTGAGGACGGAGCAGCTGTTTGAAAAGCTTAGAAACAACCCACAAACAAGAGATTGGTTGAAAGATCCAGAATATGTTAAGATTGTAGAGGTGAGTTATTTTTGTTTTTTATACATTTTTAAGTAACAGGGATGATTCATAACTAGGGAAAACAAGCGAGGAAATTAATATTAACAATTGTTAGGTATTTTAATGTTATTTTATTTATTTTTGAAAAAAAAATTAACAACTATTACAAACAAAATATACCTATATAGTATATATGTCTATACTATGTCCTATGAGAGACATACATTAACAATATGAGAGAAGTGAAAATACAGTCTTTTGTTATTGCACGTTCTGCATTTTTAGACTCTTTAAAATATTTGTCCATCTTGGAAATGGGGTTAATGAACTTCTAAAGATCTGATGTGGAAGAAAAGTGAGGTATAAAAATAGTTTAAAATTACATAGAATGACATGTTAAGCTTACAATTGTTCCACATGGAACTACTGGGAATAAACAAATTTTTGGTTTACTCAAAAAATTAATTAATTAAAACGAAAGTAGAAAAAATTAAATAATTTTTTGCAGGGCCCTATTGGCCTTGAGAAAGTGTTTCTAATTAGAATGCTTCCAGAGGATATTGAAATTAAAAACACCCTAATGTGAACTTGGAAAAAGATTTCTTCATACCACGAGTTTGGTATCCAGTATTTCCTCTGTTAAAAATTCCAAGCAGACATGAGACTGCAGTACTCATTAAAGTTTTATTTTTGATTTCCTTTTTATTAATGGAAGTTTGCAATTATATTATATGACTGCACCATCTCAGTCATGATCATGGGACCTATAAAGGATGGTAACATCGGTTTGTATGAAAAAACAAATAATATACATAATTTGTAAAAAAAAATTGTTTTCAATGTATAACAATCGCAAAAGCCTTACAACATGATTCAACAGCAGGCAATTTAAAAGAGGAAAAAAAAAATTTTTTAATAATCATTGTAAAAATGTGTGTTAATGAATTAACCTACTTATTATAAAAATGACAAATATCGTCTTCCTGCAATACGAAAATATAACTGAGCTATTTAAAAACATAAACAATATGTGTGTTAAATATTACACAGATTAAAACTAACATTGAAATTTGTGTGCCATATTATTATTATATATGCCTTTAAAAATATTGTCATATTTACTACATAACTTTATGGATAATGAATTTTGTGCATAATTAATTGAGTGTTAGGGTGTACTATTTAAATAAAAATGTATGTCTAGTGCTATAGAGTAATATTAAAAAAATAATTGCTATCAATTACACACCTATCAATTAGACACCACAAGCATCAATTATTGTAAGGGACAATGCACGGTTTTTCAGGAGAGTCAAAAAACGATTTTATTTTTATAAATCTGTCTATAACTTTTGACTGTCTGCTCCAATATTGATTATGTCTAGAGCAAAGTTCCTTAGAATTTCCTTTTCTTTCATACTATAAACAAAAGATTTAGAAATGCCCAGTTGTTTAAAATATAGCATGTCCTTTACATAAAAAAAAAGATGTTTAGTTGTGAATTACATTACTAATATCTTATGTGTAAACCATCGAGCATGGTGTAATCAGGAGGAGAGACATAAATAAAGAAGAGAGAAATAAAAATTGTAAAGGATCCGTAACAGTAGAATTACATACAATTTTCTATTTCTCTTCCCGCTTACACTATGCACGGTTTACACATAAAATATTAGTAATGTAAGGCACAAGTAAACATATTTTTAAATTTTTTTTTTTTTTAATATAAGGGATATGCTATATTTTAAACCACTGGGCATTCCTTAATTTTAATAATACCAAGCGATATCGCGGGAACTTCCGAATCCAATGATATGTGTAACTCATTTTCGACAAAATGTCCCTTACATTAATTGATACTTCTGGCATCGAAATTATTTTTTTACAATTTATGGCAAGCAATCATTGACTTACTGATATGGACGTCGGGTCCGCGCTAAAACGTGTCCGAATTTATAGGGCGTTAAAATCGTATACAGAGCGTCATTCACGCTTTAGTCTTTGTTTGTTCGACTGACAGCGAAGCAAGCAAAATTAGACAGTGCTGCGATGACAGTACAATTTAAATTCAACGTTTTAGCTTTTTCATATTCCTTTACATGTCACTACGTTTAAATAGGTTGACTTGGGACATTTTTTTCGTGGTTTTTGTATTAGACCCGTCGTCCATTTATTTGTAAGTCAATGCCAGCAATTGATTTTTTATAATGACATATTATGTCGATCTGGTAATAATTTTGTTACAAAGTCATTGTGATGTTTCTAAAGTGACAAAAAGATTACAAGTTCATGTTTTCTTTTCACAGAAACTAGCTCAAAATCCATTTGATATTCAAAGCTTAGATTCTAAAATGCAAGACAAAAGAGTACTTACAACATTAAGTGTCATGCTCGGACTAGATCTTGGCTCTCCCATGGATGTAGACCCACCAGCACCAGAAAGGAAACCACCAACAGAAGCACCTCCAAAGCCAGAGGAACCACCAAAACCAAAGTACGATGACCTCCCAGAGAACCGTAGAAAGGCATTACATGAGAAAGATCTAGGAAATGACTACTACAAGAAAAAAGATTTTGAAAATGCACTGAAACATTACCAAAAAGCCATAGAATTTGATCCTACAGATATGACTTTCTTAACAAATATGGCGGCTGTGTACTTTGAACAGAAGGAGTATGAGAAATGTATCAAAGAATGTGAGAAGGCAATTGATATTGGTAGAGAGAACAGGGCTGACTTTAAGCTAATAGCTAAAGCTTTCACTAGGATTGGTAAGCTACGTTACATATTGTTCTTTACATTTGAGAGAATGTTGGGATGTGTATAGCTTGTATATTAGCATCACACCCTGCCCCCTTTCTAAAAACTTAAATATGAATCTTTAAGTTAATAGTTATAATATATCATTATCACATTATGCTCTTGGGTCATTCCAGCGAAAATGACACCGCTGTTCCAAAAAAATAAGTTCCACAATTTGGTTTTAATTGTATGATACTAGATACTAGATATGATACTAGAATACACCCAATAAATCAAGTCATTAGAAATAAATGAGATTTTTCGGATATTGTACAATTACTGTATTTTTTGTCTTCATTAACGCAGCGATAGGTCTATCGTCTATAGTGAAGCATTTTTATGATTATCACTTAGTGAATAACCACAAAAGTCTTAAAATCTATATATGAAGCATTTTTTCCTTTAATGTAAGCAACAATTTTCGCATATATACAATTTACGAATTTTAAAACAGTTACAAGTGGAAGTATATATGGTGAGGAGTTGTTAAAGCTTCAATAAATACTGATTGCAAGTCCCACCCGTCACAATGAAACATATTATATATTTTTATTTTAACCAATAAATATGAAATTTATTGGCATTTGTTTTTTAAAAGTAACAATTATGTTAAGGGAATGACCCTTATTTTGGCTTGGTTGGGCATTGTGCTCGTAAATAGGAATGTAATGAAAAAGAAATGAAAGAAATGAGAATGAAAAAGATTCGAAAGTGTGTCCCACCCGTCACAGCGATGGGTTGTCCCACCCGTCACAGCGATGGGTGGGACACACTTCTAAACGGTCTTATTTTGAATAGATGTTTGTATTTTCATGGATTCGAGTTTTTACGATGTGTACTAGGTAGCATTCGCTTTAATTTCGGAGTTTGACATTTGATGTGTCAAATTGTGACAATTGGGCATTTTTAAAAATACACTGTTTTTATGTAGATCCATTATTTGTAAGCAAATTTTTTATAAATCTTATATATAATTAAGACATTTTAATACATAAAAAAAGACAATTAAAAAGTCACAGCATTTTTCCTGATGGTTTTTAATATCAGGAAATTCATGGAAAGTCTGTCTCCACTAGTTTTAACTATATATTCGAGCAAAACTTCTAAAATTTGATATATTTTGATATGATACATAATCTTCAAGGATGCCGCAGGATTGTTCAAAATTATTGACGCATTCTACATGCGTGACTTTGAATTCACGTCGTCGCAGACAGTATTTCAAGAAAAATAATAGGATTACTGTATCAGTTCTTTAATTCTGTTTCTTTTTATGTTAAAATGTCTTAATAACACAAAAATTATAAAATATTTGCTTACTAATGATGAATCTCATTAAACAGTGTAATTTTATTAATTCTGTGTATTCAATTGTAACTCGTCCCACCCGTCACAAAATCATTTCCCACCCGTCACAACTTAATTAACTTCCTTAAAATTTATCAAAGTTATTAATTAAGTGTATATATAAAATAGAACTTTAACATTTAAGTTATCTCATATGAAAAACTTGCTGAACAAATTATTAATAGTTTGTCTTGTCTTGGCAATGAAGCCGTCAACTCAAACAGGCGGGTGTCGTGAGTGTCCCACCCGTGACACTTAGAAAATTAAAAGTTTTGAGTATAAATAATGTCATAAATTGATGTAAATAAATAGTCGCAGTTAAATTGCATATCTGGCTTCATCATATTTTCATTTTAAGTCTAATTAACCAATGGTTAGGGATAAATTACCTAAAATTCAAGAAAAAAGGTGTCAAAATGTCCCATACGTCATTATGGAATGTCTTATAAATTTCCTGGGACGGTGACATGCAAGCATATTTAGGCTTTTACATATCGTCTGTTTAAAGGTAAAACCACAGAAGTGACGTTTTCCACAGTGTTTAATTTTCATAGCTATGGTAAGAAAATCACTATCTCTCTGCACGTGAAACTCAATTACAAAAAGCTATAAACTTAATAAGAGTTTTATCTGCAGAAAGATGGTGAATTTCTTGCAACTGGTACATAATTTGGAGATTTTTTGTGGAAAATGTCACTTATGTGGTAAAAACCTTTAAGCAGTCGAAATATACTAAGTAAGGTCTTTCATATTAACAATTTTGCAAGAAAAATATCTGATTTTTTTTTCTTCAATATCAAATCTAATTAAATTCTTCAAATTCATTCGCACTACCTTGCTGTGTCTTGCATAAACAATGAACTCGTGAATAAGTAATTATAACCTAAAGTTAAATTATTTTAGGTAATGCATACAAAAAGATGGAACAATGGAAGTTAGCAAAGACATACTATGAGAAGTCAATGTCAGAACACCGTACTCCGGAAATAAAAACACTGCTAAGTGAAGTTGAGCGCAAAATAGTGGAGGAGGAGAGAAAAGCTTACATTGATCCTGTTAAAGCTGAGCAGGAGAAAGAGTTGGGCAACGAATACTTCAAAAAAGGTAAATAAACCATCATTAATAAGTAGAATCCTTAAAGAAAGAGACACTCACGAGAGAAATAAATGTAGACCATACAAATATTTTTCCGGACCCAGGATTCAAACCCGAGACCTCTGTGTGCAGGCCAACATCGATTTGCCAATAGTGAGTGCATTAGGTAGGATTTTGGTACTTGGTACTTGGTGTAACGGGCTGGTGTCCGCAGCTCGACGTCAAGGCGCCTATTTTGCGTGCGGTGGGTGCAGGGTCCTACTCGTGCCACCCAAGCTCCTCCAGGAATCTCAGCAGCCTCCTCGGTTTGCTGAAGACTTTGGAGAGCGACCTTGGCAGTGGCCTGTAGTTGGCCACGCCGGAGCACTGTAGTAGGATGTGCGCAGCCGTTTCCTCCCCCTCCATGCACGCTCTGCATAGAGGACTGTCTGTGATACCTAAATTGAAAAGGTGTTTATTGTATGGACCATGACCTGTTAGGGCGGCAGTTAGAGTGCGAAGCTCTTGCCTGTTGAGTTTAATTAATATTCGTGATAGACTGGCATTGAGCGTTGGGAGTGCTTCCCTCGCCTGTCTACAAGCCGTAAGGGTGGTCCATGTATTATTATGTGAAGTTTTTGTACCTTTGTGTATAGTTGTTCTGGACCATTGGTAGGGGAGGGACACTATGGGTTCTGGTCCTACAGCGAGCGTCCGTCTCCGACCCTTTTCTGGCTAGTTCATCTGCTGCGTCATTGCCACGTGAGCCGCTGTGTCCTTTAATCCACTGTAGAGTTGTGGTTTTGTATACATACCTCCATGAATGCTTGATGGCATTCATAGATGTGCCCTGAGTTTATGTCAGTGCTTGAAGTACTGACATACTATATGTGGGTGATATTGTGTCTCCATCAGACTGTCAGTAACAATTTGTAGGTTCTGCTTTAAAATGTATGAACCATCTGTGCATCTCGTAAGCCAGTTGCCACTTAGTGGACACATGAAACTCACTCATAGGCAAACATGTACTCCCATTCCAAAAAGATAACTATTATTATTATATTATATTAAAATAATAATAGTGGTGACAGCAATAGATCAGTTTTGATTCACGCTGATGAAAACAATGAATAAGCCACGCATTTAATTATAACCCACTACCCTCAGGTGACTATAGCGCAGCAGTAAAGCACTACACCGAGGCCATAAAACGCAACCCTGATGACCCCAAGCTGTATTCCAACCGCGCCGCCTGCTACACCAAGCTGGCTGCCTTCGATCTTGGCCTTAGAGACTGCGAACAGTGCTGCAAACTCGACCCTAAGTTTATTAAGGGCTGGATCCGGAAGGGCAAGATTTTGCAGGTATGTGAATTTATCTCCCATAATTTGGAGACAGATGGCATGGATTAATTAAATGACAGTGAAGGTGAACTCAATATCGTCGCCTTACTTACTCAAACTCGTATCTTAAAGCACAAAGTTACTGAAATGCAAAAAGTGGATTTGGCGGGGCCAAAATGGGGTAGGGTGAACGCACTGACTGACCTTGATCTGTTCCTTCGGTAGATATGCCGTCTTTATGCGTATGCCTAGGTGTTAGGGGATTGTAGCGCCGCCCACACTGGTCTCTCACAGATACATGAGGTGCTCAGATGATTTTCCGTGAAAATGATTTTTCCGTATTGCCGTTGGACAATAAACGCGGCGTAGTTGCAATAGAAAACGTTAAAACGGGGAGTGTCCTACCCTCAAATCAGTGCGTTTTTTTAGGATAGGAATAGAGACGGGGTGAGTAGATCATTTGTGCATTTGTGAAGATGCCTATGTAGGCATTTGATACGTATCAAACCTGACAGAATTATATATTCAAATTTTTATCACATCACACATCCTTAATGTTCACACACTGGTTTTTACCTATTCTTAAAGTAATACATCGAAATTAACCCCCTTAATAAAAAAAATAAAATAAATATAAAGTTTTGCCATATAAGATACGCAAACGTAAGAAACTAAGGCGACGATATATATTGTGCTATTTTAGGAATCTAGCATATAATAACTTATTAGTTGACGTTGAGTTGTTGTTCTTAATCATCAACCCAATTCGGACATAGCCAATTTTAGAATTGTATGTTCTTAGTAATATATCAACAGGACTGCTAAGCGCGATACAAGACATCGTAGTCGGGTATTTAGTGCCTATTGGTACGCCAGATGTCGCGAGGAGTACCAAATAGCTATTTTTGTGACTAATTTGATTTACATTTCAAGCCGCAACTTATCAAAGCTACGCTATTTTCTATGATAAGCAATGGTCGGAAAAAAGGTGTTCTACATATCGCACTTGACAACTAACATAGTATTATCTCAAAAATTGCGTTATATTAAATTTTATCTCAAAATGGCGTTATATTAATAATTCTCTAAAGTTAAATTAATAACGCCTAAATTTTATTATAAGGAGCAATTATTTTAATGGTTGATTTTGCTATTCTCCAGTTCAAGGCGTCTTTCAATATACTTTAAGTAGTGAGAACCGATTTTTATTATCTCCTGTGTCAAGTCCCGTATAGTGGCAAACTAGTAGTAATTCTGGTAACCGATTTCAATAAACTAAACTTATAAACTTTGTAATTATATGTAATACTACATACTATTGAGGTCGGTTTTTAGTACTCTGTACTGATCAGAGCTACGATCTGTAGTATGGAGATTAGTAAGTCCTCTTGGGTTATGGGTCCACGGTTATTTAAATAATTAAATTTCGTCAACAGAGTAACCGTGTTATTAAGAGAGTTAAGAGTTTTCACTAAGGCAGTGATTAAAATGTGCAGGGCATGCAGCAACACTCAAAAGCCCTGAGCACGTATCAGAAGGCTCTAGAGCTGGACCCGAGCAACGCCGAGGCGCTGGAGGGCTACCGCGCCTGCTCCACGCAGCTGAACTCCAACCCTGAAGAGGTGCGTCTGGTTAAACATGCCAAATACCTTAATCGTTTAGAAATAATAAAAATCACAACACCTGACCACACTAGTGTCCACC